AATAGACTATTGGCACACAAACCTGATTCATATAAACTATATATTTTAAATTTCATGTAAATAAATCGTTTATTGTAATGAAATCTGAGGCCAAATACCGCAATAAGAAATATTAAATCAATTGAATGAATGTTTAATTTGATATTTCGTCAAAATTTGTAAAAATTTTAAATTAAATGTCATTTAAAGGATCGATTGAAATGAATGTGCGATTCTATCGGCCGTTATGTTCAGTGCCGTTGTTGTCCTCCTTCTTGTCTTCGCGTCTTCTATGTCTGGACTCGTCTTTGTCTCGACTCTTAACCCTTTCCGCTCTGTCTCCTCCTCTGTCGCGATTGCGTCGCTCTCCGGAACCGCTTCGACGCCGACGCTCACGAGGACTACGACTGCGGCGACGAATTGGAGACAAACTTCGGGATCTGGACCTTCCCGTCACATAACTGTCCATTCATTTGCACACAAATTAGTTTAATATCTCATAAACATTATACGCCGACGCTCACGAGGACTACGACTGCGGCGACGAATTGGAGACAAACTTCGGGATCTGGACCTTCCCGTCACATAACTGTCCATTCATTTGCACACAAATGAGTTTAATATCTCATAAACATTATCAAAAGAGCAGTGGAATGGCATACCTGGCCAGTCGTCTCTCAATGGCAGCCGCGCGTCGTCTGCCATAGAGTTCTCGTCTCAGATCGCGTGATATTGGCTTCAAATGCATGAAATTACAGAAACCACTTCTCGTGCACTCCCTTCACATCAATACAAATACAGACATTAATTGCAATCAAATCGAGTCAACCCTTCAATCAATTCGTACCCCATTTCGTATTGACGACAACAGGCCTCCCGAAAGTCAGTGACCGGCGAGAGCTCGGCATAAATGGGTCGACCGCCGAACCATCGATTGTTCAGTTCGTTCTGAGCCTTATCCGCGTCCTCTTCCCTCCGGAACTGCACAACAATTTATGTTCAAATCAAACACTGACTCAATAGTGGTGTCAAAGAGTGCGGCAAACCTTGACGTAGACATTGCCCACCAAATGGTCGCCCAAATTGTCGCAAACATTCATCTCCTCGATCTCGCCGTACTTGTCCTCCAACTCAATGAACACGTCCTCAAAGAAGTTGTCGAAGTGCTCCTGTGCTTCCGCGTCAGACATCACTTTAATGCCCTGCAGTTGGATGTCTGTCCACAACACATACTATGAGTGACACGATTGACAAGCAATGCAAAGACATACCATTGTTTCCATCGGCGGATTGGCCCACATTTTGCGGGTTTTGGTACAAGTTTTGCAGTAATAATGTCTGCAATCAATCAACAGAGGAATGAATGGGTGATAGTTGACAGAGACATCAATGGGTGATAGTTGTGGGACACGTGCCCATCACATACCTGACTGAATGTGGGCTTATTATGGATGCGAGAGCACCGGTCCCCGTGACGACAGGCGCCGATCTTGAAGTAGAAGGAACAGTTCACCCTGGTCACACCATACACCAATTAGCATGGTCACATTTCAATGATAATCCAATCCATTCATCAATGGATCCAATACTCACTTATCCTTTTCTGTGCCGAAAATGGACGCCAAATATTCGGCCATTTTTTGTCCACTTGTGTCCACTCAAGTCAATGAGATTTATATTCAATTCAGTTATAATTAAATCACTTTTAATGACAATTAAGTGTTTAATGGACACAACGTTTCGCACTAACCGTTCAATCAATAAATTGTTTGTCAGTTAGAGTCACACATAAATGTCAGTACAAAAGCAAATGGGGTTTCAGTGCATTACGTGCAAAGTGTATGCGATTTACAGAAAACAAGCAATGCAAAGACATACCATTGTTTCCATCGGCGGATTGGCCCACATTTTGCGGGTTTTGGTACAAGTTTTGCAGTAATAATGTCTGCAATCAATCAACAGAGGAATGAATGGGTGATAGTTGTGGGACACGTGCCCAACACATACCTGACTGAATGTGGGCTTATTATGGATGCGAGAGCACCGGTCCCCGTGACGACAGGCGCCGATCTTGAAGTAGAACGAACAGTTCACCCTGGTCACACCATACATCAATTAGCATGGTCACATTTCATGGATAATCCAATCCATTCACCAATGGATCCAATACTCACTTATCCTTTTCTGTGCCGAAAATGGACGCCAAATATTCGGCCATTTCTTGTCCACTTGTGTCCACTCAAGTCAATGAGATTTATATTCAATTCAGTTATAATTAAATCACTTTTAATGACAATTAAGTGTTTAATTGACACAACGTTTCGCACTAACCGTTCAATCAATAAATTGTTTGTCAGTTAGAGTCACACATAAATGTCAGTACAAAAGCAAATGGGGTTTCAGTGCATTACGTGCAAAGTGTATGCGATTTACAGAAAAGGGCTTTCAATACGCATTTGTAACACTTGTTGCGTACAGTACTATACAACCGCAATAAACATGTGTTCATAACAAACGTTACGCGCAATAGGAGTGAAGAAAATGTTTTCAAAACGGTATTTGTGTTGAAATGTAAGGAATGGACACAAAGGGGTGAATAAAACGTTAAGAAAGGTAACGACATATCAAACTGAAAGCCTTTTTGTTATCGATTTTTATTGTTTACAAAATCTTACATAAAATTCATTGAAATTTATGAGACATTCAGACAATCAGTGAGTCATTCGTGCCATTCATATCTCAATTTGGATTCAATTACAAGTGACATCTCAAGACATCTGACACAATGGGAGCGGTGCTCGGCGTGTTTACTGTGGGACAGGTATGTCAGACACTAAACCATAGACTGTTGACATTGTCGTGAATGACATGACATCTAAAGACGCATTTGCTTTGTTTGTCTCATTATCTTCTGTACGACGCGATGGCCGGGTATGTAATGGTGGGGTCTGTGCTCACAGTTGGCGTGTTGTTGTTCATCGGCGGCCTGTGGTCTGTTGGGGTGCTGTCCCTCGTGTCGAAACTCGACGGCCGCCCGTATAATGTATGCACTGATGCTTCTGTTGACGACAATCGTGGGATGGCTTATGACCACCGATTGGGTGCAGACGAAGATGAAAGACGTGCCCTTCTGTTCGGGCGCAGCCGTCTGCGAGAACGCCGTCGGATATCTCGCGGTCTATCGGATTATGTTTGCGTTGACCGCCTTCTTCGTCCTCTTCTGTCTGATGATGATTGGCGTGAAGACCAGTAACGACGGAAGGGCTGCCATTCAGAACGGGTTGGAATCACTCAAAGACTAGTTGTTGTCACTGAGAAACTCATTGAAATTGATTTGTGTTTTGCGTTCAGATTCTGGGGAATCAAGTACTTAGTGCTGATCGGCATAACAGTCGGCGCTTTCTTCATACCAGAAGACAGTTCTTTCGGAGAGGGTTTGTGTCAAAGACTGGCTGTAATTGTCGTAATCATTGATGTCTTGGTTTCGTATGAATAGTGTGGAAGTACTTCGGACTCATCGGTGGCTTTCTGTTTATTCTGATTCAACTCATACTTCTGATAGACTTCGCGCACTCATGGGCTGAGAATTGGGTGGAGAATATGGAAGAGACCGGTTCCAAATGGTATTATTGCGGTAATTATCACTTCCATAACTGTATGGCCAGTCACTCACCATTTGGACACTTATAGGACTGGTATTCTTCACGATTTTCAACTATTTGGCTGCACTCACAGCTATTGTGCTCTTTTACGTGTATTACACACAATCACAGGGCTGTCATTTGCATAAGTTTTACATCTCATTCAACCTTATATTGTGTGTCATTATGTCTGTCCTCTCGATTCTGCCCAAAGTGCAGGAATGTATGTATTATTAGAACATACGGTATATACATACCTATATGCCTACATACCTAACATACCATATATGCCACTAAACCCTATGTTGTAATGAATGGACGCACAGATCAACAGCGTTCGGGACTATTGCAGTCATCACTGGTCTCTCTGTACACGTGTTACCTGACGTGGTCTGCGATGAACAACAATGTGGACGACAACTGCAAACCAACCTTTTTCACCCACAAAGACACCGGACATTTCGACACCCAATCACTGGTGTCTTTGGTGCTGTTCTTCGCGTGTGTGCTCTACTCGAGTATCAGGACGTCTACCAACTCACAAGTGGGCAAAATCACGGGCGCCAACACTATACTCATGAACGACACCGGCGCCAGTGGTCAGTACTCGTGGTTTCCCTTTTGTTGCTTACCGTTCAGACATTAACTTTAGTTTTATTTCCCTTTGATTTCGCTTTAATTGAATTTAATTATTGATTTTTTGAGTCTTAAGTCTTTTTCTAAACTCTAAGTCTTGACTGTTGTTGTGATGATTGATATTATGATTAAATAATAGGCGGATCTTCTACTCATCTCACATCTAATGAAGGTATTGACCACTCGTTGATGTCTTCAGACGTCATTCCATTCCTGTTATCTATTAAACGTTCCTTTCTTTCGATACTAATCCTTGTTTTGAAACAATATTTCCTAAACTATTGTCTCTAACTGTGAACCCATTGGTGACCCCATGACAGGAGGCGAAGACGGAGGCGTCAGCGCTGAGAGAAAGACCAACACTTGGGATAACGAGGACGAGGGCGTGGCCTACAGCTGGTCCTTCTTCCACTTCATGTTCGCTTTGGCCACACTTTATGTGATGATGACTCTCACCAATTGGTATAAGTATGTTATCAATCGCTGCAATTGCCGCACATTTGTCCACATTTTCGACTAATTTGTGTTCATTTGTGTCAGTCCTGAGAGGGGAACCAAGAATTTTAGCGAAAGTCTGGGCGCGATGTGGGTTAAGATCGTCTCGTCGTGGGTCTGCTGTGGGCTCTATATCTGGACATTAGTGGCACCGATGGTACTGCCCGACCGAGAGTTCAACTAAGCGTTTGCCTATTTGTGCAAACATTTACTCCTTTTCTTTATTACAAACTTTTCATTCGTGTATTAAAACTAATTATTAGATGAATATTAAGTCACACCTAATGTTAATTAATATATGCTCTCAATATATGTATATTATATCTGTTTATCTTATTATTATTATATTATTCTTATTCTATACTTGTATTCCTTTCAAAATCCAAAATTATTAGCAATTCTTTAATATTTACACAAATCTTATTAGTTTTGGATTTTTGATCAAAACATTTGAATTGTGATTAAAATAATTTATTCCAGAGTTTGTTGTGTTTATGACATTTTGATTAAAATAAATCCGATATCAATGAAATGGTCACAAATGAACACAAATTCTTGCGATTCTGTACAGAATTGTCACCAAAATGTGATCCAATGGTGACCTCTATTGCCCGCAATTATCTCAAAGGATGTGAACTTTTGGCGCAAAACATATGACTGAATGTCAACTCAAATCACATGTCATTTGTTTGTCTCAAGTGTTGAACTGATATTTGAGAAGATATTTGAAGACAATTAGGAGATTGTGTGACAAAAAGTGGTCACAAATGGCAATAGTGTTGAGTCAAGTGGTGAACCCATTGCTCACCACAAGAGTTGTCAACAAATTGAAACAAATGAAAGTCCATTCAGTCGTGGATTTGATTTCATGTGATTTATCGCAACTGCAGTCCAATTGCAGACAAAAAGGTCTTAACTTTGAGGTATTGGCACACATTTGAGAGATAATTATCTCATTTCATGACTATTTCAGAAACTCTTGGAAGTGAGGAATGAATTGAGTGCCAGATTTGGTGCCAAACGCGTGAATGCATTGAATTTATTGACCGATTCTGTGGTCAACACTCGTGTCCACGAATTCTCGACACACATCCAGAAGTATATGTCTTTTGATTCACTGCTCAGACATTGTCTCACATTTGTTGACACCTTTAGAGTGGATGACGTGCTTAAGAGTGGCTTCAGAAGAGGCCGTTTGACGCAAATTGAAGGCAATTCCGGGTCCGCGAAGACATTGTTTTGCTATAATTTGATGACTTCTGTGGCCAAAGAATACGACGAAAAAGTGCTTTATTTAGACACAGAATTGTCTTTTAGTGACCAAAAAGTGGTGGAAATCTTTAGCAATAGATATCCAGAAACGAGTGAAACAGAAATGAATGATATATTGAGTAAAATATATGTAATCCAAGTGCTGGACATCGCTTCCCTTCAGAATGTCATCGAAAGCATTGATTATGATTTGCGAACAAACGAGACATCGGTTTACAAAGATATCGGTTTAGTTGTCTTGGATTCGGTGTCCATTCTATTGACACTAGAGTTCAAGAAAAACGGTTTCAATTCATTGATGGACGAGAGATGTGGTCGCAGACAGAGAGCGAAGACTCGGAACTCGCAGTCATTTGCGGCGATCACACAAATGGCTCAGTCTTTGCGTGCGTTGGCGTCCATTCACTCGATGGCAGTCGTCGTCACAAACAGTCAATTGATTGCATTGAAGAACACTTGGAATAACTTCTGTGATCTGTGTCTGCAGTTTGAATGCACAGAAGTGGACGACAATCAGTCGGTTGTCACGATTAAGACAATACAGACGTACGACACGAGTGCTGACATATCGCAGGAGATATGTCTGGAAATGGCAGACCTGGGAGTCGGAGACGATAGCAGTGACAGTGAAAGTAATGAAGAGAAGTCGAGTCCAATGAAGAGTTGGCCCGAAAGTGAGTCGCAAAGCGATTGCGAGACAAAGCATTCATAATGTATTCATATTTACGGTAATAATAGCACTAATTATCAACATTTAAACAATTTATTCAATATTTATTTATACGATACATACCGTACGGTATATACCGGTAGAAAAAATAATAAAACAATTAAATGTAAAACAAATCAGTGAATCATTTGGAGGTCTTGTGTTGGAAGCGATAGAAGTCTACTTCGATGTCAACTGAAGAGTGTTTATGGAATTTATAGACTTTCGGCAAATCAAAGCTGAGTCGAGCCAACACTTCCGCCTCCACTGACCACTCGTCGGCCTTCCGAAGGATGTGCTGTCCATTCAAATCAATACAAAACACAATTCATATTCAATGCAAACACAACCCAATCCGTGAAATACCTCACGAGTGGACGTCTTGTGCAGACTATACACACTGTTTGTCGACAGATCCAGAGCTCGCTTCAAAAAAATCATATCAATTCCTGCAGTGATTTACAGACAATCAACTCATTTGTCATATGAATGACAGAAGTATTGATCGAAACCTTTGTTTCTTTTGGTCCCAAACGGAGGATTCAGAAGACAAGTGTCGAAGCGTTTATGAAATGGTGTCCAAAACTCTTGGTCCGTAACGTCCGCACAAATGGAGTCGATTCTGGAAGTGATGTCGTCCTCGAAGTCCTCGAAATTGTCTGCCATTTGTCGGACGGCATCCCAATCGCAGTCAATGGCCAACACATAGTGAGCGCCCATTAGTGCCGATCCAATGGTGAGTCGTCCGGAACCGGATCCCAGATCTGCCACACATTTGTCTCTTAAGTCACCGAAAGTGTGGTCAATAGTGAAGAGCATTCGGGAACTGATGTGCACTGAAGTGGAGTACTGTTCGTAACACACTTTCGGTGACACGAACTCATCAATTGATCCCATCATCGCTTCCAACGTCTTTAACTTCATGTCAACGCTTCCAACACATCCGCACTCAACACAATGCACTCAATGTGTGGCCATTAAAGTGACCATTAGTTCAGTCGTTGTAATCACTGAATGAATGGTTTGTTTTGGATTTGATGTGAAAAATCATAACAAATGTGTGAAACATGTGTTCAATGAGTGACTCAACGCGTGTTCACCTCTAGAGCCCTCTGTCGTCGACTCAATGCTAAACACATTGACTTCAACGCAAGTGTTGTGTTGTGTCCACACTATTGGCGCTAATGTTGTCTCACATTAACGTCAATCCAATTGACTGGCAAAAGGCATTAATAGCTTTTAGTAATTTT